AATATTGGTTTTGCTTTGTTTCACAGAACTAATCGTGGCCTGGGTTGCGTACGTATATGTGGGGCGGAGCTATCAAAATAGGGGCAAGACCCTTTTGGGGTAGGGGCGTGTTTGTTTTGGTGATTTCAAATATCAACATTGGCTACCAGAAATCACTTACTCTGCCTTTAAATGTTTTAACTTTAAACCATATACGAGTTCATTATACATAATAACACTTCCTTCAGTGAAAAAGTCCATCCCATGTTGTCCTCTCACATCAACATATTTGTTTAGAACTGTTTGCTTGTAAACAGTGCTTGATTTGTGCATATTTCTCTCCTGATTCAGACAGGAAGACTTTTTCTCTGGAGAAGCAATATTATGGATAGATGACTAGTATTTTGGCCAGAATCAACGGTTTGATGTTAAAAACACACTGCTTTTCACTGGACTGGTGTGGATTACTTGTGGATTATTGTGATGTTTTTATCAGCTGTTTGGACTCTCATTCTGACGGCACCCATTCACTGCAGAGCATCCACTGAGGAGCAAGTGATGTGAAGCTAAATTTCTACAAACCTTATGAAGAAACAAACTCATCTATATCTTGGATGGCCTGAGGGTTAGTACATTTTCAGCAAATTTTCATCTTTGGGTGAACTATTCCTTTAAAATTTTATAAGCAATAGCAATCGCAATGCTTGCCTTAGCAATCAGCACTAATAATTGTGTAATGGTGGTGTTGAGTGACATATTATCTGGCTAACCACCAAATTCATCAGAATTAATCTCCAACAAATTCAGAACAGTTTTTCACTGCATTATTAAATTCGAGCAAACAATTTACAGATCATTAGAGGGTTTCAGGATTTTTGATTTATTCACAGGACTCTGGAAGTGTTGCTCTCTCTTGCCAGTCTGTTAATTTGTGTAATATATGTGTACGTATAGTACTGTTTGTGTGTGTGTGTGTGTGTGTGTGTGTGTTCAGCACTCAGATCCTCTTCTGTTTGGTTTAGAGGTTGCAATGTAACCTTCGATCACAAACAGACTCAGTCATGGGGCTTGGCTTTATCAAACATAATTTGTATGTATGTGCAGACATGCACGATTGCCCATTTATATTGTATATTCACCATCTGCTCAAACCTAAATCACATCCAAATATTTTGTTTGAAAGTGCTTGCTTGCTTACAAATACACACTAACACAGACAAACGCAAGATAATCTGCCCATTAAAAAAACTTAATGGCCTGGTTTCACAGACAGGGTTTAGACTAAGCCAGAGTTAGGCCACAGTTCAATTAGGACATTTAAGTAATTTTTATAAACATGCCTTAGAAAAAAAACAGTACTGGTGTGCATCTTGAGACAAAGCAAGGGCACTGACATATTTTAAGATCAATCTGCAAGTTTCTTTCAGTTGAAAAGGCTCAGATTTACATTTTAGTCTGGGACTAGGCTTAAGCCTTGTCTGTGAAACCGGGGGAACGTCACTAAACTGTATTAATGTTCCTGCCTCTCTGGAACTGTCTGTCTTGCTCTTCTGTCTGTCTCTTTAACTGTCTCTCTCTCTCTTGGTTTAGTATGGATATCAGCTGCCCTCAGTAAGTGAAGAGGAAGTCATGTACTGCAGTGTGTACTTTAAACCAATAGGTGACAAGCTGTTCACGTATCCTTTAGAAATGTTTCTAGTTTATGGTCAGTTCCCTGTTAATAATATATTGATTTCAGCTATGTTTAGCACAAAATTTGCTCTCAATAAAATGGCATTAACTTCTCAAAAGCACCAATTTATAATATTTTTATGCTTGTGCTTATTATTTTTTATCATCAATCTGTAGGCATTGTTGCTTGTAACATAAATTGTTTTTCAGACATAAATTATACTGCTGAATTACAAATTAAATGTGAAAAGTAGTACAGCAGTCTGTCTTGATTGACATTCATGCAACATGATAATGACACCTAGTGGACATGAGCCAGATAGGTATAGTAGTTGAGACGGCTTGAACTCTTGAGAATTTAGCTGTGATCAGAAATCACATACTGTGCTGTATACACTGAACAATGCCAACATGTGAAACAGTTTGCATTATGCAACATTTCAAACATTAGTATGACACATTGTTGCCACGGGGCCTTATTACATTGCATTAATTTCATTGGTGATGTACAATTGTCTCATATTAAATATTTAATCCAATTTTGGGAAAATCCTGATGCCTGTACAATCAAATGATGGGTCAAGAATGTTAAAAATGATTTCTTCTGGTTGCTTCATATGTCAAGTGTTGTCAATATGTTCATATGTCAATGTCAAGTGTTTTAAAAAGCTGCATTTATTTGATCAAAAATGCAGTAAAAACAGAAATATTGTGAAATATTATTCCAATTTAAAATAACTGTTTTCTATGTGAATATATTGTAAAATGTAATTTGTTCCTGTGATGCAAAGCTGAATTTTCAGCGTCATTACTCCAGTCTTCAGTGTCACACGATCTTTCAGTAATCATTCTAATATGCTGATTTGCTGCTCAAGAAACCGCTTTCGCTTCTTCATATTTTAATGGAAACCGTGAAAGAAAAGCATTTATTAGAAATACTGTCACTTTTCATCAATTTAATTAATCTTTGCTGATAGTTAGAAATAGTTTTAGAAATACTTAGAAACTTAGAAATAGTTTTTTTTATATAGTATACATAAAGAAAATCTGCTTACAGTACTATACACAATATACATGCTCTATACTGAAGAAATAGACAAAGTAGGTGACTTCATATATGTTTCATCCCAGTGCAATGAGCCCCAGAACTCTGGGAATTCACGCTATTCCCAAACATGTTTCTCATTATTAATATTACATAACCCCCATTTTCACATTATGTGCTAGATCTCTGCACATAATGAATCAGAACTGCAATTACATCACACATTGCAAGGACAAATTAAAGATTATAAACACACCATACATTTTTTTTTTTTTATCATGCTGCGTTTGGATCTTATTTATTTATAACCGCATTGTTCTTTGTTTTTTCTATGTTGGCAGTCAGAGATAAATATCCTTGACTTCCTGCTCAGATATCCATTGTGCTGTATCCGCACTCTGCCGGTACAGTGCTTTCCCAGAGTGGACCTGCAGGGGGTGCTGGGAACCTTCAAATCAGATCTGCAGGCCGGACTTGAGAGTGTGTGCGGTTTGCCGGTGCGGATGACCTGCAAGCCTTGCTACTACACCAGTGAACTGAACAGACCAGACACTCAGGTACTGCACACACACACGCGTGCGTCTATAAACACAAACATGCCGTCACTTAGCTTACTCTCCTGCTTATAGCAATAAAGTAGCAATCAATTGAATTTGACATCAAGTACTGCGCTCTGCTGCTTAGTATTACTTCTGACATTGCCCAGTTTGTTATGGCTATGCTCATCAGTGGCACAGATGCAGCTGGATGTGTTGCTTTATGGATGTTCCAAAGCCATTGAGATGCATGTGTTATCCAGATTTTACATTCATGTTCTGGATTATGCAGACCGTAGAAATCCTTTTTTTTTTTTTTGATTTTAAAAATAAAATATTCTAATATTTTGAGATACTGGATTTTTGACTTTCATGAGCTGTAAGCTCTAA